GCGCACCCGCGCGAGCGCCGCGCCGAGTCCCCGCCCGAACGAACGGCCCGCGCCGCCCCTGCTCGAGCTGGAGGAGGGAAGGGCCCCGCCGCCGCCGAGCCGCGCGGGCTTCGCCCGGCAACGTCCGCCGGCGGCGGCGAGGGAAGGAGGGGCCGGAGGGGCCTGCGCTGGCGGCGGCTAGGGTTCGCTCCCGGGCCGCCCGCGGGAGCGACCTGGGGAGCCGAGTCCAAGTGGTGACAGTGTTATGTACCTTGATGATATGTGGTGGGTGAATGCCAGAATGCATGCGATGCGATGCCATTCCGAGCAGGAGGTGGCGGGTTTATATAGGCGTGTGCTTGAAGAGCCTGTACGAAGCTATTGTAGCACCTTCCACAAAAGAAAGTAGCTAGTGTACGTGCTATTGCTAGGAAAATGTAGGGACGTGCACGCCCGAGATAAAGGATATCAAAATCGGTTGGTAGCTAGTCGTTGCTAGGTCGTTTCCGAGTTGTTCCGTGCACTTTCCACGGGTTCCACCAAATTAATCCACCGGCCCGGCGTGCGATAAGACGGCCGGCCGGCCGGCGAGCTCCGAAGTGGTGCGCGATAGGGTCGCCAGGGCTCGGCCGGTGCTGACAAGAGATTATCAAGTAAAGCTCATGTGGATCCCTGTAATGGAGTAGCTGGCACTGATCGGAAATGTCGGGTTTTGATTCGACGGAAAGCTATCATTTCATATTGCTAGGCTCGATCTTGTCCGGCTAATGGCGCCGGTCGTTTGACTTAGCAATCAGTTGAGATCTCAGCAACATTTTCACCAGGATTTAATCAACCCAAACGCCCACAAGGTTGCTGCTGTTTTCTTGTGCATGCATGTCCGATGATAATAAGCAAGCACTCGTGGGAGTTGTGGATGCTGAGCACACAGGCTGGATTTCCTTTTTTTTCATAAAATATGGATTGATATTGTTATGGTCAAACCTGCCAAATGCAAGTGGAAAAGTACAATAACTTTTATGCCCCTAGTAATGCTGGTACACTGGAAATTCATACACAAAATATGTACAGCTTTGTCAACAACCTCTCCTGGTGGAGAATAGACTATTGCCCTGTATTTCTTTCCACCACTAACCTGAGTAGAAATCCTATATCCAGAAGGATAATATGAACTTTCTACATATCCATCTGACCATCACAGTTTTCTTTTTGCCGACAAAGCAAACATAGACGCCTCCTAGGCCAATTAGCTGCTATCAAATTGTCTAGCTCCTATCTCACTTTTAAGTAAGTCGCGTCAGAGGCTTACTGTCCACTTGGCCACTTACTCAAAAGTTCAGTTGGAGAGACAGTTGTAACCTAAATTGAATTCCAACCAAACTGTCCACTTGGCTAATGGCCACCTCGATATCAGCACGCATACGGTTTCTGGTCCTAACGATGCACGCTGATAGGAGAAAGAAATTGGCTCGTGACGGACAATTCTCTATGAGCTCTGCTGACAATGCTCAACCAAATCATCTTGCAGCTGAACTTGAGTTTCCCAATCACGCATGATGATGAAATTCGGTGAACTGCGCAAATATTGCTGCTCCTCCATGCTTAGGCACAACATTTCCACCGTGAAACTGAAACCCTTGGTCATAGATACATTCCAGGCGATCATCCTCTACGGTCATATTGTGCATGATCACGCAAGCAGTCGTCACCTCCCGCAAATTCTTGGTGCTCCAAGTTCTAGAAGAGTACTGAACGATGCCCTATCGAGATTGAAGAACACACAACGCATGCTCCACATCCTTCCTAGCACTCTCCTGCTCTTGGGCAAATCTCTTCCTCTTCTCTCCTACAGGGTTGGGGATTTTCTTTACAAGAGTAGTCCACTAAGGATAGATACCGTCAACTAGTTAGTATCCTTTGTTGTAGTTGTAGCCATTGATCTCAACATTGACCTCCGAGCAGTTTCCTTCCGCAAGCCTTGCAAACACCGAAGATCATTGAAGCACGTTGATATCGTTGTGAGATCCGGCCAAGCCGAATAAAGAGTCTCAAATCAAGAGATCTTGTGAAGCCACGGCCTCGAGTATGACAGTGCAACCTTTTCACATGGCCCCTAGACCGCCCCTGCCAAGCAGAAGGGAAGTTCTTTCACTCCCAGTGCATACAATCTATGCTACCAAGCATCCTCGGAAATCCCCTGCTGGCATTCATCGCGAACAACCGGGCTGTATCTGCAGCATTTGGCTCTCTCAAGCACTCCGGGCCAAACACTGATATCACAGTTTTGTAGAACCTATACATGGAGTCTACGCACGCGGACTCGCTCATTCGGACATACTCATCAATGAGATAACCGGGAACTCTATGTGCAAGCATCCGAATAGCTGCAGTGCATTTCTGATAACAGGAGAAGCCAATCTTTCCCAGGGCATCCTCCTTGCACCCGAAATAGTTATTGTATGCCACCATCCCCTCCCGGATACGGTTGAACACATGTCTAGCCATATGAAAACGGTGCCAGAATAGGTGGTGTTTGAAAAGCGGGTTGGAGGTCTCGAAGTAGTCCTTCCAGAGGAAATGGTCACTCTCTCGGTTGCGATTCAATGCCGGAGTGTGCTCCGGGATCGAGCCCCTGAACATCGGTCGCACCTACTAAGGTGCTCATGGAACTGGGCAGTTGTGGTGGCGACGGGTGGGGCTGCCGGGTGTGCTGGCTCTAGATGGGAGGAAGATGGAATGACCAACGTGCCACTACTAAATACCCTCCACATATCCAGTCCAGTGATACACGTGCTCAAATGATTTTATTTCTTTAAAAAGGACACAAATGCATTTGAATAGCTGGTGCACGCATCCAGCCCATGTGTTTTTTTTAACCAAGCAAGGCACCAACAGGTACCAATTTATTCAGCTCATAGACATTGTACAACAAGAGTTACAAGATCTGCCAGTAAGTAGAAGAGGAGGAACAGCAGAATCTCAACATGACTAATAACATCAACTTCATCATGTAAACAACTCCAGAAACTTTCTCCAGAGAAGAACATAGAGTTACATAAAACTACCACATTGATGCCTAAGTTTGCAAAAACACCGGTTTACGAATTCTTGCTGGAAACCACTGATTCTCGGTCTAATCTTTTGCAAAAACACTGATTGATCGCTTTGAATATTTTAACCTTGATTATGACACGCAGGACCGTATTTAATTAGGTGGGATAGGCGGTTGGTCCCAGGAGACGTTAGACAAGATGTGATATGAATTTACCAAATAGTCCAGCTATTTTTGCATAGACACCCTTCAAACAAAAGTCCAAAACGCATTTAGCTTCAAGTCATGCAGAACTGCAGCAGGCGCAACATGGGGTCTCGTCGCCGGCCATGGCCACCGCGCCTGGTGGGGGAAGGGGGCGGCGCATGACCGTCGGCCGGTGGTGTCACGTCTGCATCAGGCGGTGGTGCGAGGGCGCCCCACCGATCAAGATCGGCACCCGAGCCTAGGATTCAATAGTGGTGGCCTCCGGTGGGATGACCACCATGGAGTCCGAGACGGGGAGCTCTCCATCCACCAGGGGCATCCCAACCAGCTGCGACCGGAGTATAGAAGCTCGTGAAAGAGGAGCTTCCACTGCGACCGCTGGCGCCGGAGCTCTTGACGTGCGAGCAACCCAATAGGAAGTCCCAAAGGACGAGGGCGGGCGAGCAGAGGTGACGCCGGTCATCACTCCGGCGTGTGGCGCCACACTATCTAACCTCAGCTCGGACTCCGTCCGCTCCTCGCCTCTGAAGTACGGCTGCACGGTCAGGGGGGCGGCGAGGCGCATGGAGTCGGGGGTGGGTTGGCGCGTGGACGCGGCCGTAGCCTGACAATTGGCCGCATGATGGATTATGTTGCTGCCAGCTCTCTCCCCGATGAGGAAGCAACTGGAGAGGTCCATGCGGACGCCCTTGTCCAACCCCGTGACGCCGTTGGCGTTGATGAAGCAGAGCGTGTCCACAGCTTTGGCGTGAGGAAATTTTTATAGGGAGATTTTCTTCAAATGGGGAGGAGTTATTGGCAAAAAGAGCCCGTTTAAGGTCGTTTATCGTGAACCGTTACACCATGTCTACAAATGATGGGCTTCATCTGTCATAATCGTCATCAAATGGATCAAAGTTGTCAACCGAAGTTTTTTTTTTTTTTTGCAAAAGATTAAGTCAAAAATCTGTGGTTTCTGGCAAAAAATCGCATACCGGAGTTTTATGCAAACTTAGGCATCAATGTGGTGGTTTTATGCAATTCACTCCATGTACTGTATGTATTCTTAGCAAATCCAGCACGCACACCCTGTGAACCGTATGATGAAAATGTTTCAAATATCTGTGAACTAATTGGCAAGTCAAACCGCCATGGCCGAACCGAATTAATCCACACCTCGCCGAGCGTACAGATCCACGGCCATTAGCTGCACGAGGTCGAGCTTAGCCCTAGATAGCTTTCCGTCGAAGCAAGGGCCAGCGCACGTACGGGAGGTCGGCGTAGGCCATGCAACAGAAACCAAACATATATTATATCCAACCTATCAGTGCTAGCCACTCCATTACCATACCAGCATCGACATGATCTTCACTTGTTAATATATTGTCAGCACCGGCCGGGCTCCGGCGACCATACCGGTCGGGCGCCACTTCGGAGTTCGCCGGCCGTCTTATCGCACGCTGGGGCCGGTGGTTGGTGGAACCCGCGGAAAGTGCACTGGACAACGGAAAAACGACCTAGCAACGACTACCAACCGATCTGATATGCTTTATCTCGAGGGTGCACGTCGCTGTAGTGCTACACCAGTTTCGTACGGGCTCTTCAAGCACACGCCTATATAAACCAGCCAGCTCCAGCTTGGAATGGGCATCCCATGCATTCAGCTCAGGCATTGAGATATCGAGCCTCAACCTGCCGATCACTCGCAGGGCTGCCGTGGCATTTGCATTGAGCAGATCACTTGCTGTAGATTGCAGGTACAGGTTCCTGAGCTTGCATGCGCATGGCAAAAGCTTGCATACTCCGCGGTGTGGTGCTGGTCGTGTGCGCGCTCCTGCTTCTCTCCTCCCATTTCCTGGCGGCTGAGCCGGCTGGCCGGCAATGGGATCACGGGAGAGGCGCCACGGTGGCTGCGACGACCATGGCGAGAGGCCGTTTTGCGAGGAAGGTGTTGCGGGAGGAGATGGTCCAGGCGGACGGCGACGTTGACATTGCCGGCTCTAAGAGGAAGAGCCCCGGTGGCCCCGATCCGCAGCATCATTAACGGGAGAGAGGCCACGGTGGATGCAGTTTCTCTACAACAATATGTTTACCTGGCATCATATACTCCTACATGGGACCTGAATCGCTAAATAGCCGAAGAGATGGTTTTGTATACCACGCATGTGTATACATGTTACATACATCATCTTTGATGTATATGTACGTACCATATGGTAGGAGACGCAGCACAAGTTTGTGGAACAGATCAAACTATTGTGACTAGTTTTCTCAAAAGGAATAAATTTCAGTTTTCATCCACATTTAGCCACCCCTTTGCATAAATTTCAGTTCTGTGGGATTGTCTATCATAGTCGGCGTCCAAAATTTATTTTAGTCTCCCTACCACACTCTAGTATTTGGACCAACAATTTTACATTTTGTGGTCAACTTGTACATAATTTATACACCAGAACATTTACTCAACTACGGACTGAGCATAACTTAGATGGCTAGTTGGGTGGAACCTGCACATCTCGGTTAAGGTCCTAGACTTGTCACGGTTTGCCAGACTTTCCTAGGTTTATTTCAGGCTTTATGGTGCTACCCTTTCACCGTATGGTGTGTCCATTAACTACGATGCGTCTTTGGTGACTTAGTCAATCTCAAGGCGCGGCTCGGTCTCCCAGAGATGCGTATACATGTACAATGAGTGTGTGAACATGTATGTGAGCCTCCGTGTCTATACTCTGCTTCTCAAACAAACAAAAAACCATCGACTTAGGTAAATACATACTTTCAGGCCAAGTTGTGAGAGAGAAGTCATGGAAGTAGCCCATGGGCAGATCACTGCCATTTTACTCTCTGTTAGTTCCTCTCGCCTTCAGCTCTCCACCTGACATCACCATCACTAAAAGTTGCGTCAAAGGGGCTTGGGGGTGAGCGTGGCGGCAACAATGATGGGGGGTGATGGGGGTTTTTATACACGCGAAGGTGGCACGCTCCAGCGGGAAACAGGGGCTGATTTCCCGCATGTTGGTGGGAAATATGTGCTGATTTGCCGCGTGCTAGTGCGAAATGCGGTGGGGGACATTAATTGGTGCTCTTCCTGATGGAAATGCAGCTGCAACATTAGCATGAGCGGAAACGGCAACCGTACTATGGTCGCACCATTGACCGGGCTATGCGTGCAAGGAGGAGGCTGGTCTGTAACTTCCCTGCCGCCTGTGCGATTGGCGGATGGCACGCGCTCCAATACAACATCTCCAACCTCCAAATATGGAGGCTCGCGAGCTAGATATGAAGTGCGCTCCATAAATATGATAACTTGGATCATATGGCGACCCTGTAAGAGTACTTTTGGGCCAGAATATTCCTCATATTGGCGGCTATTATGCCGATTGGCCCGATATGGCGACTCTCCTAGAGTTGCTCTAAAATATCTCCATCTTACTTACAAACATTAATGTGGATGACCCATACAATAACTTTTCTACAAACAATCAAAATTTAGCCATAGCTACATGTGAGAGAAAATTACATACCCACATCTATACAACAAATTTTTTCGCATGCGTGAAAAGACTAGTGCATATAATTTTCCATGAGTAACCGTCATGTCGTGTATGAGTGTATTGTAAAGCTCTAAACTCTATTCTCCCTTATTTAATGGATGAGGCAAATCTTATGCCTCCGTTTTAAAAAAACAAAACATCTATACAACAACAAAATTACCGTTTGTAAGTTGTCACCAGAATTTATGCAGATCTAGATGGATTGTTCTAGTGTATTCAAGAAAATTACAAGCTCAATGGCCTTTTGTACAGGAGGTATTATTTGTCAACTACACTATAGAGAACTGCTGGCAAAACAAGGAAAGGACACCACCTTACTTTTACCGCTCAAGAGTCACGATCGAAGAGGAAAAAAAAAAGAAGAGCAAAAAAAAGGTAATATACTACAAAATTGTCAGCAGAGCTCATAGGCAATTGTCCGCCACGAGCCAACTTCTTTCTCCTATCAGCGTGCATCGTTAGGACCAGAAACCGTATGTGTGATGATATCGCAGTGGCCATTAGCCAAGTGGACAGTTTGGTTTGAATTGGATTTAGGTTACAATTGTCTATCCAACTGAACTTCTGAGGCCCTGTTTGGTTCATAAGTCATAGGACTTCCTTTAGTCCCAACTTATAAGTCTCAAGTCCCTAAAAAGTCCCTACCTGTTTGGTTCCTGGGACTTATAAGTCCCTATAAGACCATATTACAACTATAAGTCCCTATAAGACTCTCCTTTAGAGTCTTATTTCATAAGTCCCAAATGCCCACTTTAAGTGCCTATAAGTCCCTCCTGTTTGGTTTAGATGGGATTTATAGGGACTTCTTTAAGTCCCTAAATCAATAAGTCCCTGGAAACAAACACCCTTTGAGTAAGTGGCCAAGTGGACATTAAGTCTCTGACGTGACTTACTTAAAAGAGAGAAAATAGCTAACCAATTTGATAGCAGCTAGCTAATTGGCCTAAGAGACGTCCATGTTTGCTTTGTCGGCAAAAAGAAGAGTGTGATGGTCAGATGAATATGTAGAAAGTTCATGTTATCCTTCTGGATGTAGGATTTCTACCCAGGTTAGTGGAGGAAAGAAATACAGAGCAATAGTCTATTCTCCACCAGGACAGGTTGATGATAAATCTGTACATATTTTGTGCATGAATTTCCAGTGTACCAGCATTCACTAGTAGAAAAGGGGGCAATGATCCAGGCCGGGTCAGCCCATTAGTCCCGGTTCAATCCAGAACCGGGACCAATGGTGGCATTGGACCCGGTTCGTGAGCCCCGGGGGCCGGCCGGGCCACGTGGGCCATTGGTCCCGGTTCGGCTGGACCTATTGGTTCCAGTTAGTGGGACGAACTGGGACCAATGCGCCTCGCTCCTGGCCCACAACCATTGGTCCCGGTTGGTGTAGTGAACCGGGACCAAACGCTGCCCTTTAGTCTCGGTTCGTGGCACGAACTGGGGCCAATTAGTTGCCTATATCTACCCCTCGCCCGCGAGCAGAGCACTCCCAGTGCTCTGTTTTTCGTGGCCGGCGAGGGGAGAGCTTTATGGTGCTCTAGCTCACCTCCTATGCACACGAGGTGTTCGATGAAATTCGCGAGCCACACTACTTAAGCTTTCTCCTCTCCAAGCTCGACCTCCAAGCTCCATTTTCCTCAATATTTGTCTAGGTTTAGCGGTCCGTCACCCCGTCCCCGTCTTCACCGCCGTCGATCGCCCGCGCCGATCTCGTGGCCGGCACCATCGTGGTGAGCCTCTTGTTCTTATCTTCTTTCTGAAAGGAAAAAAAATCTTACTTGTATATTTATATAGATACTTGTATAATTTTCTTACTTTTATTATTGTTGTTCGTGACCATCAACGATTGGCCCGCTCTCAGTAACCTTTCAGGACAGACAAATAAGGGATACCACGCATGCACGCACTGTTTACTTGACACCGATAGTATATACCTGGCAAGCTGCAGGAAGAATGTGTACCTGGGCCATCGTCGATTTCTTCCGACCAACCATCAATGTCGAAAGAAAGGCAAGCATTTCAAAGGCGAGGCAGATCACCGGAAGAAGCCCGCCATGCGTACCGGTGATCACGTACTTGCTATGGTCAATGATTTACACGTAATCTTTGGAAAGGGTCCCGGCGCACTAGCTGTTCCGAGTGACACTGGGGGATACGCACCCATGTGGAAGAAGAAATCTATATTTTGGGACCTACCCTACTGGAAAGATCTAGAGGTCCGCTCTTCGATCGACGTGATGCACGTGACAACGAACCTTTGCGTGAATCAGCTAGGCTTCTTGGGCGTGTATGGGAAGACAAAAGATACAGCTGAGGCACGGGAGGACCTACAATGTTTGCACGAAAAAGACGGCATGCCTCCAAAGCAGTATGAAGGTCCTGCCAGCTATGCTCTTACCAAAGAAGAGAAGGAAATCTTCTTTGAATGCCTGCTTAGTATGAAGGTCCCGACTGGCTTCTCGTCTAATATAAAAGGAATAATAAATATGGCAGACAAAAAGTTTCAGACCCTAAAGTCTCATGACTGTCACGTGATTATGACGCAACTGCTTCCGGTTGCATTGAGGGGGCTTCTACCAAAAAACGTCCGATTAGCCATTGTGAAGCTATGTGCATTCCTCAATGCAATCTCTCAGAAGGTGATCAATGCAGAAATCATACCAAGGCTAAGGAGTGATGTGGTACAATGTTTTGTCAGTTTCGAGCTGGTGTTCCCACCATCCTTCTTCAATATCATGACGCACGTCCTAGTTCATCTAGTTGACGAGATTGTCATTCTGGGCCCCGTATTTCTACACAATATGTACCCCTTTGAGAGGTTCATGGGAGTCCTAAAGAAATATGTCTGTAACCGCGCTAGGCCAGAAGGAAGCATCTCCATGGGCCATCAAACAGAGGATGTCATCGGGTTTTGTGTTGACTTCATTCCTGGCCTTAAGAAGATAGGTCTCCCTAAATCGCGGTATGAGGGGAGACTGACTGGAAAAGGCACGCTTGGAAGGGACTCAATAATATGCAGGGAAGGATATTCTTGGTCTCAAGCACACTACACAGTTCTACAGAACTCTACCTTGGTGACCCCGTATGTCGATGAACACAAGAACAGTCTGCGCTCCAAACACCCGGAGTAGTGCGACGACTGGATTACATGTGAACACATCAGGACTTTTAGCAGTTGATTGGAAGCACGTATCAGAGGTGACAACACTGTTTGTGATGAGTTGTACTTGTTGTCAGGGGACCATCTTTGACTGTATTGATTTGGAAAGGATACGAGATAAATGAGAATACATTTTACACGATTGACCAAGATCAAAAGAGCACCAACCAAAACAGCGGTGTCCGCTTTGATGCAACAACCGAGAGGGGAAAAGACACATATTATGGTTACATAGTGGACATATGGGAACTTGACTACGGAGTAGATTTTAAGGTCCCTTTGTTCAAGTGCAAATGGGTCAATCTGTCAGGAGGCGGGGTACAGGTAGACCCA